GTGTTAACGAGCAGTTGGACAGGTGTACCTAATAAAGTGGCCAGTGAGTGTATTTTACCCGCTGTACATCAGGTTACCTACTGTACACTTTAGTCATAAAATCATGTTGATATTCTTATTTGGTGTAAACTGCTGCTGTGTAGCACGAGGATGTGGTTAATCAGAATGTGCACACACACTTTTCATTGTGTGTGTTTACAAAAGGAAGGCTTCGAAGTACAGAAAGGGTCTCATCAACATGAGCACCAACTTGTGAAGTAATCCACACTATTATAAGTGTTCATAAGGAGGACAGAAAAACATCATCCTTTACAGAGTTGAACAATAAAATCAAAAACAAACACACACAGCAGTTTATGTTCATGCACTCCCCAGAACTGCCTGTTTTAGTGCCAAATTCCAAGATGCAAATGAATAAATAAATAAATAAATAAATAAATAATAATAACTCACTTCCCGTTTCAAGCGAGTCAGCCCCTCTGCGCTGCTTAACCCTCCCCACACACGTCTGCTCAAAACTACACACAGAAGACACAAAAAACACAAATAATGTGCTGAATTAAAGAGCCAGGTGTTTTGAGTGCACGTAGTTTACGATGAGTGTCCTCTGCTTGTGGAAGATATTAGCTTTTAGCTTCTGGTTTCAAGCTTTTTTATCAGGGAGCTTTTGCAGTGTTGGAAATGCTTGGACTGGCAGTCATCTATCAAAGGAAGGTATGACTTAAAAACTTTTACATTTATTTTTATGTTTTTAATCCTTCTATTTACTTCATAACTATTCTTTCTTTTTTCAATTTTATACTGACAAAAACCCCTCCAAAGTTTACAAAATTGCTTTTCTTAAACATTAAAACACCACAAAGTGCTTTTATGTTGCTTTTAATTGTGGCTTCATCTGTACTGAGCAAGATTATTATTAAGGTGCTATTTTAATTTAAAAAAATACTGAATTTTTATTTTTATCTTTCATTTCTGCAAAAACATTACATTTGTGGGGACAAGATAATATCTTGTAGAAGACAAAGCTTGCAGGAAGTTTTGTTTTAATAAGGAAATAAACCATCAAAGCAAAGTRTGGTTTTGTTCACTCTGAAGATAATGAAATCATAGCTGTTGCAAACAAAGTACTTGTGCTATGAAATTTGGCACAATTGAAGTAATATTTCTAAAAATGGACATATTTTTTACAAAAAGTGTCTCATTGCAATCAAAAAGAAAAGAATAAGTACAGTAGGTCCTCTAGATGGGTTCTTCTTTAGTGAAACGTTTCGTCTCTCCTCCAAGAGACTTCTTCAGTCTGATGAGTTTCAGGTGAACTCAGCCTTATAAGCACTGCCTCCATATGGACAAGCAGGTTCAGCTTTAGCTGTTCATACTTCAGCTGTGGTTCTTTGGAGCATCCAAACCAATAAGTCAGGTGATGGGCACATGACCCTCTATGAACAATAGAGCTAATCAAGCCTATTGTTAGGCGATGGCCCTCTTTTGCATATGACTAACCTGTTTGTCCATGTGGAGGCAGTGCTTATAAGGCTGAGTTCACCTGAAACTCATCAGACTGAAGAAGTCTCTTAGAGGAGAGACGAAACGTTTCACTAAAGAAGAACCCGTCCAGAGGACCTACTGATTTATTTTTTTTTTTATTTTTTTCTACCTGGATTACTGAGATGCATCAGGACGTCGCATTGCAATATTAGATTGCCAAAAAATCTCAAACGTTCCTGTTGTTCCTTTTCACTTTGGATCATGTAGTTTCTGCCTCAAAGCGCATACACATATTAACATACACACAGAGACACGTCACATTTCAAACATCTGCTCAAAGTTAGTTTGCATCTTGTCAATAAAGTTCATCGTAATGTCTTGTTTCCCCTTATCAGCTTAGAACAACAAAGGGTGCACACTTAAGKGGTTCAGTTCAGGAAAACCTACATTTTCCTGAACTGTGGTGTGGTGGAGWGGTTAGGAGAGTTGTCCGAAGGCTGCCGGTTCAATCCCCCGTCCAGCCGTTTCAGTCGTTGTGTCCTTGGGCAATTCACTTTATCCGCCTTGCCTACTGATGGTGGTCAGCGTGTGGCAGCCCGCCTSTGTCAGTGTGCCCCAGGGCAGCTGTGGCTACAATGTAGCTTACYACCATCAGTGGGTGMATGTCTGAAATGTAAAGTGCCTTGGGGTCCAAGTGGACTTGATAAGGCACTAYATAAGTTYAAGCCATTTACCATTTACCAAAACATTCTCTGTACTTTGTTGGGATTTGGAACTAAACTGTTTTTAGGACAGAAAAATAGTTTGTATTAACTTAAGTGTCTTCTGTCTTCACTGCGGATAAACTACATTTAAGAACTCACCGCTCACTTTATTTCTTTTTTATGCTGAAGTCTTTACAGGTGGTGCAGAATTTGTAGAGTGGTTCTACKTGTSAGTACATCAKGTGGTTTCTGRGAGTTACAAGGTTCTGTAAAATCACTCTGAAAACAATGTACTGATACAGTAAAWTTTCATTTGTACTTKTGAATAYTTGAGTATTTTAAAATGCATGYAMTTTTGAGTACTTTMACTTGAGCAGATTCTTGACCGAGCAACTTGTAGTTGAGTAAGATTTGACCACRAGCCATRTTGATGCTGAATTCAAGAAAAGTGTGTTTATAGAGAAACCCTGTGACACCAACTAACCAGTTAATAATTTATTGTTTTTGGGTGGTTTGGTCTCTAAAAAGGCACGCATATTGTTTTTAATGCCACATTAACCATCATGTTATGTGTTATTTCTCTTTATATTCCTGGAGCAGATGTTCTGGCCCTAAAGGATGAGGAGAATCCTAAGTGTTTCAGTCGCACTGGAGGAGATTTCATCTGTTTTTTTGAAACTGCAGAAAACAAGACTTTTGATTTGTTCTACAGTGTATCGAGGTACATTCATACAAACTTGGTGGATTATTTTTTAAGACACTTAGAAATCAATTTATGCATTTTTAGCACAAAAAATAACCGTGTCAGTTCTAAGATTGTAATAATTTTGTCAAAATATACTAATGTTCCTTGATTAAAAGGGCAATATTGACCTTATAAACATTAACACACAAAATTTAGTTCTTTAACTTTACACATTTTATGAGGAAATAAGTAAATTTATAAAAGCAGTGTGTATAAAGCTTAGTTGATAAGATTATATGAATTAGGCAGGTAAGTATCWAAGGTCAAAATAAGTTTTTTGCTCAGAGTATGGGCTCTTCTTTGAGTTCATCTGAACAGGAGCTGCTGCTCCATACAGAGAGAAACCAGTTGAGGCAGTTTGGGMAAGACGACTCCTGTAAAGGTGTTCCAGGCATGTCTAACTAGGAGGAGGTCCTGAGGAAAACCCAGGATACACTGAGGAGACCATGTCTCTCAGCCAGTCAGGGAATCTTCCCAGAGCAATGGATGGATGGATGGATGGATGGATGGATGGATGGATGGATGGATGGATGGATGGATGGATGGATGGATGGATTGGTTGGTTGGTTGGTTGGCGGATGGTTGGTTGGTTGGTTGGGTGGGTGTGTAGGTAGATTGATTGATGGTATATTGTCATTTGGACTTTCTCAGAAACTTGTTCTAAAAATCTGAGACCTGGAAATCTCAGACTAGTTACATTTCAATGCCCTACAGGCTTCAGYTCACATAAATGTTCATGAAAGTAAAATTGCCAATGATTGGATAAGTATGACTTGTTTTTATAAAAAGGAGTTGCAGGAAAACACCAATATTGTTTGTGAATGATGGATATGCATCTCCTGTTCTGTGCTTGTCCGTTATCAAGGGTGCCAAGAACGAGGTGTGAGATGACTGTCCATGGAACAGAAGAGGGGAGTTTCCTGCATGTCTGCTCATTTCCCGGGACRCATGTGTTTTTATACACCAACACAAAGATTCAAGTGGTGGATCGCACCAACACCACCATCTACAATCGAATAGTCAATGTGGAAAACCATTGTAAGATATTTGTTTTACATTGTTTGATTCCTGATCAAACAAACAGAGATAAATTATAAAAAGTRTTCACTCCCCTCTTTTTTGGTCTGTCATCATGATTTTATCAAAAAATTGCAAGTGTATGTTGCTATTGTTAAGAAAATATAATGAAATGTCACAATATGATCTGCTTTTATCTTGAAATTATTATTTGTGTCGCCGTTACATATATCCCTGCATCCTTATTTGGGTCTTAGCTTCCTTTGTCTTGTTTATTTTTGCTGTGTTACCGTGACCAAATAGTCACAAGTTTTAAAAGAGCACATTGATGTCATTGTAATCAATACACTTCTCAAAAACACAAGTTTGAAGGCATGTTAAAGATAAAATAGTATTTACAGTAAACCAAATTTTGGAATGGTGGTAAATTAAAATCTGAAAGCCTCCAGGCAGTATTTTCTGTCACGTTGTGATCTCCTGACCAACAAGTTCACTGTTAAATTGAAATATTTTTGCCACAGATCTTCTGAAACCCCCTTTCAAAGTATCTGCAAAGCCAAACGGCCACGTGGGACAGCTGGATGTTTCCTGGGATGCAGAAACCCCGGAGATCGCGGAAGATGACTRTGAATACAGAATTCGATATTCCTCCAGGTCTGTTGGAGAAAAGACAACACAGGTATGTGCAAGTCTTTTTTTTACCTGATCTATCTTTACATATTTAGCGTATTTTTGTGGCAACTTACATTTTGCACTGCTTTTAACCTGTTAACCTTGTAAATTCTTAAGCCTCGTCCCTATGTAAAGATATAAATCTGAATTTTTAACTTCAGCTGTCATAATTTTTGTAACTGTAACTAGTATTTATTTATTAAAGTTAAAATACACTAACTGTTATTCTTTTCCTTCATGTCCAAAACTGCATATTGAATAAAAGCTAACTTGATTGGCTACAGCTGTGGTGTCAGAATGAAGCTCAGAGCTTATTGGCCGATTCTAGTCGATCGATCATGTGTACCAGATGGGACATGAGGGGCTTGCCACACATTTTGGGCTCTGTACAGTCTATAGCTGAACCCAGTTGGTCATAAGAGGTGTCAAAGGAAAGAAAACAACCAATCAAATTGTTTGAACAGCATTCTATGCAAATTGAAATTCCCTGGTAGGCTATAAATATGGAGGAAGTAACTACAAACTKGGAATGTACTGTGGGCGGTACGTTGATGGTTAAGGGGTTAACAAATTCTGTTTGCATCATCACCAACAGCTATTCTATATTTTTACCAAAACAAACAAACAAAAAAAAGTACTATCATCTGCAAATAAAACACATTTGAACAAGCCTGACACATTTACCAAATCATTTACCATATAAAATAAATAACTTTGGTCCAAGTACTGAACCTTGGGGCACTCCACGTGACGTTACTTAATTCAGATCTCACATCATTTATTTGAACAAACTGTTTTCTWTTTTYMAA